ATCCATTCATTCACAACAAAAGGCCGAGTCGCATGAATCATTGCACTTGACAGGAAATTTGTGAAGATCTAGATTTAAAAAAAAGAGGTCAAACAATGAAATAAACTTGGATATTTAAAGGAACATAAGAACATCTCATGAAAGGGAGTTTCAGGGTTTCACCTCACGACCAGCCAGCGTCAGTAATACTGTCCCAAGACCTCCTGCAGTAAGCCACTTTTGGGTAGAGAAACCTAGCAACTCCATGAATAATGAAACAGCAGCAACCCATACTGCAGAGTAAACAGCCTTCCCAGCAAATTGAAAACCCATCTGCACAAAACGAAAGAGCTCATTCTTTATGGAAATAACTACAACGCATTTCATGATGAGAGAGAGAGAGTGGCAGGTGGGATCCCTTGATAACCACGAGCATAATTTGACTATTCAGCAAAATAAGACCCAGATGTCATCGCAATTAATCAAGCATATTTGTTCATACTTGTGTGCCTCTTCAATAAGGCATACCCAAAAAAAATGAAAAGCCAATGAGTGCAGGAATATAGCACATAAGCTAGAGCTAGAGGTAAATAAGAAAAGAAAAGGAAAATCCTAGAAAGTTGAATCCCCGAATCAGATAATAAGTTGAACAATTACGGCACGTAACACATACATTTCTGGTATCACCGGAGTCACTAGTCTCCATGAAATATTTCTGTGCTTGTTGAATCACACTGCATGAAAATATTGCAATTAGATATCAAGAAAGCAACTGTCCACCAGGGTTACAAATTGGAGACTGTCAGCTGCATTAAAGAGCACAAATCAATACAACAACTACATATCATGGAAAGCTTATGGTTGATTGGTCAAATGAAACATCAAGAAATTAAAAAGACCAAGTATTGGTGATCCGAAACACAGTACTTAAAATGTTCAGAAAAAATCTTCAAGTGGTCCAACAGTTATACTCTCCTATATTATTGTTCGCTGACAACCTAATCAAGCATTTTCAAGACTAAAATAGAAAACAGGCTGACCTTGATAAACAATAGGCAAATGCCAGAACAGTTGACAATGATCTTATAAAATCCAAAAGACGTTGCTTTACAATCTGGCTAGCTTCTGTAGGTAGAACAACTGGATCCAATGCCCTGCAAGAAAACCACTATGATCAGTACATTACCTAACTGGACTTCACATTAAAAATAAAAAAAATTATTATTTCTCCAATGTTCTGTTGTGAGGGAACTTCAGGGCCCATTTGGAACCTTTTTCATGTTTGGTTTCAGTTTTTATTTTTTGTTAGAAATAGCGGGAAAATATATGGGGGAAAGGAGGGCGGTAGGAGAGAGGAGGGAGAAATGAAGGAGAACATATGAAACAAAAAATTGAAAAAGAAACCACTTAAAATTATATTAAATTTATAGTTTTCATTTTATATACCATTTCATATATAATTCTTCCACCTCCCTCCCGCCACCCTTCTTCATTCTTCCTTTCTCGCATATATTTCTCTATCTCTAACCAAAAATGAAAACCAAAAACCAAAACCGAATTCACAAAGACCCTTAGTCACCTGTGCTTTATCTTTATGGGGTACATACACTAATGCCTTAAAACAGTTCTGGAATACATATGGTGCTGGAAGGAGAAGTTTGGTTGGTGAGGAAGTAGAGTGGTTTCAAGGCTGTTCCACCTTTATCATAATAATCACATAAATGAAGGAAAAGAAAATAGTCAAAATTTTAATGGTGTTGAGTTCTCTTTAATAACCCAAAGGTTCTAAACCCATTGTTTGACTGAATTTATCCGTTTTAGACAGTATTCCTTCCTTATCTTCTTCAGAGCTTTTAGATTTTCTCATTTTTATAACCGTAAATTTTGTTTTGGCAGAGGGACTTCCCATGAAGAAGATAAGACATAAAATTATATAATCCAGAAAAATACAACATAGAGAAACCTGCATATGAGTATTGCTCCCATCCATAGCAGCGTAGGTTGAATATACGAGGTTGTAACATAATGTGTATTACTCTTTTTCCAACTACCATCACTTTTCTGCAGGATAGTATGAAAAATTGGATAACATTATCAGGTGTTTGTCCAATTCAGAAACACAGGCAAAATGAACTGCACTGTATTATTTAAAGCAAAAAAGAACACACAAAAAGATAAACATACATGAAGAATCAGATTTCTGCTCAGGCGCATAAGTGGTGCCAGACCCCATATGGCAAAGATAATAATGCCAACTGATGGAATCAATTTGAATACAAGAGGACAACCTTGCAAAGCATTATATGACCTGCATAATAAAACGAATGACTGTTTATAAAATTTAGTAAAGAAGATTCCACAAATCACAAGTGTAGAGCACTAAAGATTACAGCATTTGACATCATGCACAACTGATAGAGACATGAAAGCCTGCATTTAAAATGCACCAGCTGAACAACAAAGAACACGAGAAACTATTAAGCAAGCAAAAACATCAAGATATCTGAACTCGATATCCTTCTACTTATCAGACTTTAGTATTCATATCTGAGTAGTTTTATTGCAATCGATCATCACTACTAGAGATTGAAATACTATTTTGAGCAGTCAGTTTGTTGCTTATAAGTACGTAGAGTCGAAACATATTAATGGCATGATACATCAAAACACCATTCTAGAAAATTATCCGGGTCATGCAAATACCTATGATCAGGGGAAAAAAGTATGCAAATTGATTTCCAAAATAAAATGATGCCGTGCTCATATATTGGTAAATGGTAATAGGGTTGCTTATGTTTAAACTCAAGCAGAAGTTATCAAATAATGTTTTCAAGACAAAATCAAAAGAATAACATAAGTAGAATGAAAGATTGAAAGGAAACTATAGAGTAAAGCCACAGAAGCTATCGTAATGCACAAACCATAGTCATGCATAAGTTACCATAGAATTTTAATATTAAAAAACCATAACTATACGGCACACATATGACATGTTCATACACACTTAAGCAAGAAACAAAAATTACCTTGTCAACACAATTGCAGCTGTCTTCAAGCCGTGTTGGTCGAATGGTTGGCCTGATGTTAGCGAAGAATGGCACTTAAATGCATGATAGCTGTGAGACACAGTATGTAAGGACCTGTATCCATTGTCTGATAAACGGATACCCCAAGAATCCTGCTTCTGAAACTGTAACACAGGAGATAAACTCAAAATCTTTGCTGAAAGTCTCTAAACTTCCAAAAGATGAGAGCATCACTAAAAGAGTATTCCTATATATACCACAGTGTGTTATCTTGCCACACAGTCTAGTAAGAGAATGTTTCCCTATATATACCATCTACAGTACTCCAGAAGAGTAACTCAGCCATCATTTCCCCATACAAAAAATTTACATATCCATCTGCTAAATGGGCGAGAAAACAAGTAATGGAATGAAGTACATCAGAATGGTCAAATTTTTTGATATATGTCAGGAAAACTAATAGAATGTAATGATAGCATGTGATCACTCTTCCTCTGTCCCAATTGGTCCTATCCATATTAGGGTCTAAAGTAATAAGTCATGAATCATACCGCAAATCGTGATGTAAGGGCAGTGCTTAATGAATATAACTTGTCCCTTCCTATTCCACTCTGTGAAGAATGAAATTACTTTAGGATAAAAAACAATCTCTGGATAATAGTGCAAAAGAAATTGAAAAAATAAAGTTTTATAGTACCTTATATTGTTCTCGTGACCTCTGATTCTTGCAAAGTCCCAGTTGATGGGACAATTGCAATGAACCAGCAAGAACCATTATTGGGTTGAAATCAGTGTTTTAAAAGCATGCCTTCGCGCGCGTCGGAGCGAGGCGGCAGGAAATCGCCCGAGGCGGTCAGCTGTTTCGCGAGTTGCACGTTTAGCGCGGGGAAGGCGTAAGGAGCGTTGCAAGGCGTGGCCAGGCGAGCCAGATCTGGACACTTCTGAACCGGAAGAAATTTTGCGA